CGATTGCACGGTGTCGGAGTACGAAAAAATCATATTATAATGACGGTTCAAATAATCGAAAGTATTCTTAAACGGTACGCAAAAAAAAAAAAAAACACGAATTAACGGAGTACCTCGTGAAATCGACATATGTCTTAAAACCGTGTCTTTTTATTTGATTCTGGGTCAACAATACTACCCTATGCGTAGCCACTTTATTTCATCAATTCATAGAACTCCGTTTTTTAAACACGCTAGGACAAACTTTAGGCCTGGTCAAGTGTGAAGAAAAGAGACGTGTATGCGAGTAGGACCGGCTGGTGTTATTCCATACACCGATTGGCACCGGATTCGTAGTGGAAAAACATATGAATGAATTTTGGTAAAAAAAAATGACCTGAAAAAAAAAATGCATACCTGTAGTATTCTGCACCGTCTGGACACACATTGGTCGTCCACGCACGGTTGATACATGCCCAGCGTGACGCAGTTGAGCAGTATGACCAGCATGCTTGCCCTCTCGAACCACGTGCACGAATCGGTTAAGGAAATAATATTGTCGGTATGTTAATTAATGTTTTTTTTTTTTATTTTTATTTTTTACAAGACAAATAAAATCGAAATATGTTTAAAATAAAATCCATTTGATCGCTGAAATAAACAAAAATCCAATTTACTCAACATGTTTGTGTAGGTTTGCCAGTGTAAACGTTTAGCCTATTAATTTTTTAATAACTATAGTTTTATACATTTTAACAATATTAGTTAAATTATTCTCCCTCCGCTGAACAACATTACAACCTGTTAACGAAAAAAAATTATTTTTTACGCGCGCAATCTATCATAAAATATGTCTATGATTTGATCAGGCGAAATTATTTTATTCAATATAAATATTTTTTTAATTTAATTTCATTGGGAGCAATTCGCTAAGTACAATCTCTAAGTATAATCTCGCTAAGTGTATACTATTGAGTATTATTTGACAATTGTGACTCGTTTCCTCCGTGACCCCAACCCCCCGGTATTCCAGCTTCATTTTCTTTATTGCACTTACGATATCTGGTCGTTTCACTAATTCCGTATTATGATGTGATTTTCTCCATTCCTGTGTGTTCGCCTAAACGCGTTCCTTTCAAAAATACGCAGTCTAAATTCTTCCGTATTCTTAACGGCTGAGCATTGTGCTCCATGCATGATTATTGGTCGAATAATGGTCACAATATACGATTTGTCGTACATTATTCAACGCGGTATTATTTTAATATTTGTGTTTATACGTCATGGTTCCAATTTTCGTACACACAAATGTAAACGGTATAAATTTTTACCGCGAGTTATTTTTATAGTACCTATGCACATTTTGTGTAAAACAAAATACGACCTGTCCTGTATCAGTAGGTAGTACGAAAACATAATTGGTCTGATTTTCTTGTGTAAGCAGTGATGGATACGATGATATAGTAAAAACTGCGCTCAAAACACATAAAACATCTAATAAACCGCTGCAGTCAATGTCGTTGAAGTTTATAAAAAAAAAAAAAAAAAAAAAACCAATATTAGTCTCGTACGTGGCGGCGGCGGTGGCGTTATGTAACGTGCACTAAAAACGAATCTATTTCCGTACGTTTAACGGACGTGTTCGACGTGTCAGTACGCGATACTATAGGCATGCAAATACGTATTTTTAAATTTTCCAGAAATTTCGGTCGGCGGAACCCCTGACACACGCGCGCGCCTGGTTTTGATTTATTCGCGCGACGGTGTAAAATGTTTACTCGGGTCATCGAACACTCTAAAACCATTCGTATACTCAATGGTATATAGATCGAGTGGAAACTTTGAGATCGTGTCTGGATATGTTATTACAATGTCAGTTTGAAAAAAACAAAAAAAAAAAAAAAACAAAAAAAACACTGTTACTGCAAATGGACGTGTCACCGTTTTAGGAGAGGAGCTGGAATTGAAGGACGTATGACGTATTATCAAGAAAAATGTAAAATTCACCCCAAAAAAGGACACCGTTAAAAGCGTATAGTCATATAGTCTTTTCATCGTTTTTGTTCATATAGACCTTTTAGATGTTGAGCGTAGCGAGGACTGCATTGGTTGTACTATGATGTGTGTAATTTTTTTTCTGCCTGTTACATCTTTTATACTAAGAATATTTCGATCTAGTAGGTACGTTTAGGTGATTATATTTTTATTTTTCTGTATTTTCTTTGACTACAGAATAATATGACAATATAATCATTTATATTTCAGTTATAAACGAATACATTTCCGAATGCCTCATTCAGAATCTTTTTTTGTTTGCAATAATTTATCGTTGCGCGCAGATATAAATTAAATTACCCAATATAATATCCTACCTTCCCTAATTCTTGCCTACAACAGTGACACACCCACAGTGCAAATTATGGTCATACTTTATTTTGTATTTGCATTTTACTACGAGTATACAATAACAATTTGCCAACGATTTGTCAACGAACGCCACAAAATATTATTGGAAAAATATCAGTTGACTTTTCAATGTACACAATATTGTAATACAAATTAATATAATCCATTAATAAATTATTTTATTCGATACCTAATTTTAAAACTTTTTGTTTTTAATTTTTTAGTCGGGTAAACACGATATCAAAAAAACAATAGCATTGAACTTAATCGTAATGTTCCTAATGCTTTGGGTGTTTTATAATTATGATAATTCGAGAGGGCCGTTCTCGGAGAGTTTGAAATATTAGTTTAACCAATTGTGCGCGCAAAGCAAATACGAGTACTAGAGTAGCAACACGCAGTCCCTTGCAGTACTGATCCGTCAAACGGCTTTCCCGATTCTATACGTTTTATTTTATCGAGTTAAATTAAATCGTTGGTATTTTTTTGTAAATTCTTCCAGGTTTTTAATCAAAAGCATACGGATTGTACATCTAAATATTTGAAAGTCACTCACGTGAAGTTAATGTGACGACGACGATATAAAATCGTATTCCAATACTCATCCCGTCGTAATAAACCCTTATTTATAACATTATTTGCGTTTTAAACGGAAAAATAAAAAAAAAATAAATACATTTTGTTTTGTATTCAACGGGTCATAATTTGTCACAAAAACATTTCGGTGGCAGTTTAAACTTTAAATATCATTACACGAATAGAATATAAAATCAAAATTGCCTAATTATTATAACAAAATACACCGAAAAATCGAATAGGTACCGACTCTATCGAATGGTCTTTATGAAACGTTATTGCTTCAATAAGTATTATACGGGTAGGTACAGACAATCCAAGCATAGCTATACGAAATGTAAGTGTTAAAGTGAAGTCCGATTATTACTTTATTCGAACGATGTATGTCATATTATATTTATTTATTCCGTAAAAATTGAATTATTTTTTATTTAGCTGTATTTTTTTCGTCACGGACTCGCGGTTATCCATTTCGAATGTCGATCGACACGAAGATCCGGCCGACGACCAACGAAACGTTTTATACATAATACATTGTATTCCAGAAACGGTCTTTCTTATGTCATATTATTATTTCCTCATCTACCTTCAATAATCTCCGAATCCTCGTGATCCTACCTTACGGTTATTATATTATTTTCGTTAAACATTTTCTTATCGTATAAACGAATATCTAATTTTCATTTACGATTGTTCATTAAAAATGTAATTTTCTCGTACAATCATCGCTAAAATACCGCCCACTTTGTGTGTCGAGCGCAGTTGCGGCGGAGTCGTGTCCGCGAAGTTCGAAAAACCTTTACGAATCTCCGTTATTTTAATTATCAAGTTCAAATACGCGAATAGGTAAGTCATTTTAGACTACGAGTGAAGCGATGAAGCTTACGGTTTTACAATAATGTTTATTTTTTCATTTTATTTTTTTCCCAGAAGTTTTTTCAACAAATGAGAAAACCGGAAAAAAACGGAGAAAAATGGGAAAAATCACTAAGTGTATATATTGTAGGTATTAGTTAAGAATACTACGGTCTTTTTTTAATCATGTGAACAAATTTTTTATCGGCAAAAGTTTGCTCCGATTTACAACAATAACACTTCTTATTGAAGAAAATCTTACTGGGGAGGTACTTTAAAGAAGTAATTTTTCGATTTTCCTAGGAGTTTTCTTAATAAATGGAAAAAATATAGGAAAAACGGGAAAAACAGATGCAATATTAAACAAATATAAAAATTTAAACGAAATTTTAGATTATACACTAAACAAAATTAATGAATACGGTTACCTATGTTAAAATTTTAAGTTTCAGAAATAAACCTCGTAAAATTTAAAATAATTTTTTTTTTTTAATACATGCAATGATTTTATACTACTTATGTATAAAATGTATTAATAAGACATTATACTCAGTTTGAGTGCATTTAAAATATAAAATAATAACTAAATAATAAACGTAAACACCCAATCTATATTATAGTATAAGTATACATAATAAAATAACAAAAACAAAATTATAAAATAGTTAATATTGGTAAATAAATATATATTTACTGGCATTTGAACTTTTTTTTTTACCGTGTAGGAACTTCTATATAAACATTGCTATCATTATAAGTTGGAGCAAAATTGCAGGTAGAAAAGTTGTGCACAGAAAAACAGAAGGCCGTGATATATTTTATGTAATATCTACATTTTTTATATTTTCCCGTTTTTTTTTTTTCGGTTTTTCAAATTTGATGAGAAACTCCTGAGAAAATGACTTCCCTAAAGTCTCACCCCACATCGATTTCCTTTCAGAAAAGGTGCTACACTTCTTTGTAAAACCATAAGCTACTTCATTCCACTCAGAATCTAAAAACATCACTGTAAAACCAATACATTCCTCGCTTCACTAATAATCTAAAATATAGAAGTCAAATTATTGTAGAATTTCCTCTGGATACCAAAAGCGCAAATATAACAATAACAACGCATATCGTAAACCGATACCGAAAACTGTTCAAACATATTGTTAAAGCAATAAAAATAATGTGTAACGTGCAACCAATAGTATTGATCTCAAAACATAAAACTCCTAAGTAGATACCTACTGTACTCGTTATTCGAATAGCGTGTAGTATAATTAATATAATTTGGTCATTTTCGGGGATCGATCGTCAAGATGCGAGTTATTCGAAACTGTTTAGTGGTGAGTATGCTTTTATTTTATGATTGTGTAAATGCACCAGGTGTATTAATGAGTTCCTCGGTACTGACTCCTAAAAAATTAGATAACTTTCCGAATAAAACAAAACTTAAGGCCAATGCATTCATTTCGAACTTTCTAAAAACGCCATCTTCGCGTAGAAGTCAGCCTAATCAATTGTATTCAGATATGTACAGAGGAGCAAGATTACGTACACATGCAGTCAAAAGATCAGTAATAACTAATTTCCTAAAGCCTCGTATCGGTTACTTCGATAATAACGAAAAAGACGACAAGAACTTCCTGTCAGATCCCAATACTTATCTAAACGCAATCAATGGCGGCCTTGTCGGTATTCTCCTGCTTAAAATTCGTATTTGGATGTATACAAATCAACCACTGAATGCTATTGGATATTATCTCGGGTATCTCAAGGATAAAGTGATTCTAATAAATAAAGCCATTTCTCGTATTGCTTTCGAAAAACGTTATGATAAAAATAACGAATCGAACTTTGACGATACGATGAAATTGTTTTATGCTGCGTGCGACATTAAAAATACTACTGATGACAGTGATGAGCAATTGGAGCTTAAAAGAAAACAATTTCGGGAATATTTGTTAAAATATAATATCGATGAGGACCTAATAACCAACGAGTCCTTGGATTATTTTGCCAACACCGTGATCGCTAGTATAGATTGTATCAGAGAGATCGATCCTTGGTTCAACACATCAATTCCACTAATGAAAAATATGATATACCTCGATAAATATTCCGACGGCCATGATATGAATAAATTAAAGGAGATTCGCGTCCCTAATAAAAACACGAGTTTATATTCACTCGTCGAAAATTATTTAAAAGAAACCGATCCGGTAAAAGTAGAAAAAAATCACTTAGAAGTACATCATTTGGTCGCGCCAGAAATATTCAGTTATGTGTACGAACATTTTAATTTATTAATCAAGTTAGCTGATTACGAAATCAATCCAGAAGATCTGGACGAAATATGGCGGTTTTCTTATATTACATATGATTACACACAAATATTTCTATCTCGTATTGTCGAATTTGAGCAGAATTACGTCGGAGGAGAAGTAGCAGAACAAGGGCAAGCGTTGTTGGACAGAATGAATACGTTGGCGGACTTTATAAACCCGGACGTACCTGGTAGACTGCCAGAAAAGCCAAAGCTTCCGTATAATATTATGGATTATAACACCGAAACTCCGAAAGAGGAAATGAATAAAATTAAATCATACATGTCCGAGTTGATAAATGGAGCGACCGAAAATGTAATGCAATTTTTCGATAAAAATATTGAAAAATGGAAAGCTGATAGAGTTTTAAAACCGACAGATCCGGAATCACTGAATGATGATAAAGAATCGTTGTTGCGGTTGATGAAAAACAACACTGACAAAGCTATTGTTACAATGAAGGCATTTTCTGATTATAACAGCGCAGATTTTGCAAACACAACAACTGAAAAGGAAAATTTGACGAATCTAATTTCGGAACTTTCGAGCAACAAACCACCTATTTAATTGATCGAGTCGGCAATATATTCCTTAATAGTCATCACAATTGTGAAAATATACAATCTATTTTTGTTTTGTACTTGTGAAAAATTAATTTGATATTATTTTTATTTTATGAATTTAATAACATGAGTATTTCTAATAAAAAATGCAGACTCAAAAATATACCTGTTTGAAATTAACTTTAATATGTATTGCGTTGTTTTTTCTAATTTTAGTTTTTAAACGTTATACATGCAACAGTGTAGTTATAAGGCATAATATCAACATGTAAAAAAAATATAACGTCGCATTAAATTTACTTACTTAAATTTTATTATGTATAATAAAAAAAAAAAAAAATATTTCTATTTTATAAAAAACTAACAGTACTATTATCATATCATTGTATACCTAAACGGTTGAATATTATGTTTTTAATTTCAACGTCCTTTAATATTATGCACAATATTAGGTATTTTCAAAAAGTTCCGAGGCGGTTTTATTTGCACAACGATGAGACAAATAACAATTTCGAACAATCCTAGTAGTCCTACCATACCTTTAGTATATATCTTTTAATAAAGCTGCTCAACAGTACATCACAATATTTTATACCTAAATGTTTGAATATGATATTTTAAATTTAAATTTCCACAATATATGCAAAACATATTTTTAGCTTTATTAACTCTTAGGCATCTTCAAAAATTGCTGGGACTGTTTTAATTGCAAATCGACGAAGAGCGTCTGGTTTGTGTAACTCTTTCTGAGTAAGTTTTGTTTTTGCACACTCTCTATAAACTTCTTCGTTTTAGCGAAACAGATGTGTTTGTACAATATGTTTTTTGTGCGTGTTTTGGTAACTGTACGATGGATTTAAACAATACGAGGTTACAGATCTATCGAATGGTTGCGGAATGAGTCTCCAAAAGGCGGCCACTAAATTTCTTGTTAAAAATACGATAGTCACCCTGCCTCGTGGTGCGATCTAGTAAAAATTACGACACTTTTGTACAAACCATGTACCCATAGCACACTGGTTCGTAAATCAAAAGGACAACGTCCGCCCGGGTATCCCTCCGCAAAGCACGACTCGTTTACATAATACCTCTATAATCATATGAATTGGCATAATTTTACGAGTCAGTTATATATTTTTCAACTGCGCGATTTTTCGGTTTATTTGTTGGCGGTATTCCGATTCGACCGAAAACTGCGGATAGCGTACAGTGACGGCGAGTATTCTGTGTTATAATACTCGGTATAATTGCATACGGGTATTTATATGACTTATCAAAACGTTTGGGCAAACATTGTTCGGTTAAAAATGCTAAATTATAGTTATTAACCGGTAAGACGAGATGAGATACCAATTGTTTTCGATTGTGCCTTTGGACATTTTTGTCGGTATTTCAACATTTAAGTATGGGTAGAGGGAGAAGTGGATCCCTGTTCAAAGGCCGCTCCATAAATTATATATCTCCCCTTGTCATAACTTAAAACTGGAATATTCAAACAGCGGGTTTGTGGAAATTAAGAACGTCAACACCAAAATCAATTTGACCTAATACTCCATATATTTATGAGATTTTTACGGATCACTCTGTATCCGATTCTATTTTGTGTTCAGGAACAACTGATTCAAAGGTAAGAAAGAGACTTACGAACAGATATGACGTTTATGTGTTGTATGAGTGTATAACAATACCTCGCCCCTCAAGGCCTTAACTCTCATTTTATTAATTGTAGTAAAGATTGCAGGAGGGAGTTCGGACGAAGTTTTTTTATTATCATTAAAAATAAACAAAATAAAGGTTTTGTTTTATTCCAAGTCTAACAGCGTCCTGCTAACTAAGCAAAACAACTATTAAAAGGGAGTAGAAAACTTAAACTCATCACCACTTGACACAGGTACCGTAGTAGTCTTATAGACGAACAAAGCGTACATATTTTATAACATTATAGTTAAATTATATCAATACACAAAGGAAATGGATTTTAATGCCTTTTGAAAAAAAAAAAAAATATAGAAATCAAATTATTGCGAAATTTCCGCTAGATACCAAAAGCGCAAACATAACAATAACAGGCACCGTAAACCGATAGCGTGAAAACTGTTCAAATATCTCGGTAAAACATTACGAACAATATGTTACGCGCAACCAACAGTGTCGGCCTCCAACATAAACATAAAACTCACGTGTAAGTAGAGACCTACCGTAATCGCCACTCGAATATCACGGAGAATGAATACATATAATTTAATGATTTTCGGGGATCGACCGGCAAGATACAAGCTATTAGAATTTGTTTAGTGATGAGTGCGGTTCTATTTTATGATCGGGTATTTACCATTCCGTGCGTTCGCACTGTGTACATTAACGGTTAACTATCGGCAATGACTCCTACACAAATTGTTTATTTTTAACTCGCGAACAATGTATTTGGTGCTGTTTTTTATTTTTAACTGATTTTAATAACATAATGAGTATTTCTCAGAAAAAACGTAAACTCAAATATACACCTGTTTGAAATTAACTATAGTGTGTGTTGTGTTGTTCTTTGTAATTTTATTTTCTAAACGTTTTACACGCAACAGTGTTGTTATAAGGCATAATATCAACACGTAAAAAAAATATAACGTCGCATTAAATTTACTTACTCAAATTTTATCACGTATAAAAAAAAAACAAATAAAATATTTTTATCATAAAAAACCAACAGTACTATTATCATATTATTGTACACGTACACGGTCGAATATTATATTTTCAATTTCAATATCCTTTAATGTTAGGTATTTTCAAAAGTTCTGAGACGGTTTTATTTGCACGACAAAGTTAGTTTTTTCATAAACATCTTTATTTTAGTGAAACAGATATATTTGTAAAATATGTATTTTGTGCATGCATCGGTGATTTTCGGATGAGCCCAAAAGAACGTGAGGTTATAGATACGATAGTCGCACAACGAGCCGCCAAAAAGCGGCTACTATAAGGTTAAAGCCAGATACCTGCATCGAAAATCGCCCAGCCGCGTGATGCCATCTAGTAAAAAACACATCACTTTCGCACAATCCTATTATACCTATGGTATAGTATTATTCTTGTAATTACGACAGTAGTTTGTTGATTCTTTAATAGTTCTCCTAGAAGTGCTAAAAACCCGGAGTAAATGCTAAATTCGATAAGGACCTTTTCGGCAGTGGACCATTCGTTAACATATTCGTTAAACAGTTGTGCAACGATTCTATCTATAACCGCGGTGTTATCCGGAAATCTATGGTTATATTTTAAATATTTTTTTTTTTTTTTTTCTTATGTTATCACCTCGTCATCATCGTACTTTGCATATAATGACTTTAACACCGGCGGCAGTGGCGTAGAACGCTGGTTTATCTATAGTTTTTCTCATTTTTTCCACAGCTCGTTACGAACTGGAAATATGTCAAAAATGTCGTGACTAATATATATTTCAACGCTCCCTGGTTTCATTTTCTCTTTATTTTTTTTTTTTTTTTTTTTTTTTTTTTTTTAATCTGATACGACAATGTCTTCCCATTTTCGCGGTATCGGTTTAAAAGAGACTAATGGTGGTTTTATCAGGGCAACAGCCTAAACGGAAAAACGAAAACGCATATTGTATCGTTTATCGCGGTATGTATAGAAAAACGAGAACTATTGCTAGGTATTTATTCTTCGAGTAAAAAGAAGAAAATAAACGTCGTTTCGAGATACGTTTGATGAGACGTGAAACAATTGATTATAATTGCGCGTGAAACAAAATTAATTTAATTTATATATCGTAAAACAAACCGAGAAAGTAATACGGGGGACCAGATTAGGACCCATTTGGACACCACTCCCCTCCAATAAAAAAAATAACATTTCTCGTCAAAACCCATTGTCAATTAATATGATACTAACATTATTAATAGAGATAACCGTTTATGAACAATTTGTTCGAATAAAGTGTGGCGAAGGAATCTAAACTCTACCGAATTCCTAGCGGAATGTTAATACTAGTCGTGGTGGTCGAAAAAATGCGCAAGTACAACTCACAGTAACGCGATACATACGCGGGTACCCAGAAACAAAATTCAAGAGCGAAGAAGAAACCTGAGTGAAGTGTTGAAATCTAAATACGAATCGAATCGTAAAAAAATCAAACGCGACAAATTTGAGGAGGAGGATAAAACCCCCGAATCGTCCTTCGGCAAGACCTCTTAATAGGAGGCGTTTACGAATTGACGCCCCCGGGCGCCAAATGGCTTGACGCGGCTCTACTCGTAAATCTGTAGCAGTCGTCGTCGGTATCACACGCTGAACGTAAAATAATATAACGGTTTAACGCGATGACGTGTATAACGGCGGCGGGGGCGACGGCGGCGGCGGCGATGATGGCGATGACGATGATTTTATTTTCACACTAAAAACGATCGTTAAGTTTTTAACAATTATCCGTTTACGACGTGTTTAGACTCGTATTTTCGCGATTTCAGAATATCATAGACACTCGCGTACGGTTACCGCCGTCGTAGCGTGCGTAATTATATTTCAGTGTTTACAGCGAACGACGATGCGCAGAGGGCGGCGAAATGCGTTCGTCCCGTTCACGTTACGCATCAATCAAAGCCGGAAATAATACGATTTCAATAACGTCCGCCGACGTCGTTGTATTAAACAACAGGTTGCGCGTACGGTTTTTTTTTTCCTACGACCGACCACGACGGACGATTGATTTTTTATTATTACGATTATTATTATTATTATTATTATTTTTTTTTTTTTTGAACGAGACCGGCCGTTTAGCAGAGCACATCGGATCGTAAATCAAAACGTCAAAGTCCGCCCGGATATCCTCCTCCTCCTCCTCCCCCCCCCCGGCGAATTACGATGCGCCTATACAGTCCTATGAACGGGCCTAATTTTACAGGTGACTTTTATATTTTTCAACGGCCGGTTTATTTGCTGTCGGTATTTCGATTCGACCGAAAATTACGGACAGCGTATAGTGACGGCGCGTGTATATCCAGTGTTGTAATAACCGGTGTAATTTTCAGCCTATAGATACTGGTATTTATATAATTTATCGAAACGGTTGGGCGAGCATTGTTTGGTCGGCAATTTTAACTGGTAAGATGTGGTAACAATTGTTTTCGATTACGCCTTCGGACATTTCGGCGGGCATTTCAAACGTGTGTGTACGCTTAAAAACGTGTCGTTTCCTCTATAGAAACGTTTTACCGTTTTATTATTTCTTTTGCAATAGGTATCCAGGTATCCAGGTACCCGCCGTGCTGCATTGAATTTAGTTTATCTTCGGTGGAACGGGTATACAAGTGTATTGTAATATTATTACAATCATAGTTCGTAAATCTATGGACCAAAAATGGGTCGATATTTGGAAACTATAAGCATAATGCGCTACGAAATATTAGGTGAAAAAATCTACATGGTTTAATAGAAGATGATTTTTAATGAGGTGCCTTAAAACGCAGAGAACATTGAAATTCCAACGGTAGTAAAATCTTTAAAACGAAATATGAATTTCACCATATTTTCGCGGGAGGAGCGTACCTTTAACAAACCTCTACAGACTTGTTCATAAAGTTTATAGCCAATTACCCATAGTAACATTCAATTAGCGAAATTTACGACGAAAACCTGCTGTATAATTATAGGTAATCAAAAAAATTAATTAATACAACATAATCACGATTATTATGGCTAATTTCGACTGTACTCGTTTTTTTTTTTTTTTTCTGAACTTAAAACAATTATAAAAATCACGAATTTAATGGACGTAAAAAGATAAAACGCCGTCATTTTCAGAAGATTAACCTACAACGGTATATTGTATACAATTTGAAAAATCCATATTAATAAGCAGGCGGTTCATTTTCAGGGATTTCGAGGCTTTATAGATTTCCATTTAAAATATAGCGGGGTTTTCCGTATCACTTTTTAATGCTACAAAATCCGCGATAGGTACTTACAATATATATATATATATATATTATACATACGAAGGTAGTCATAAAAGTGAATAGTAGGATTACTTAATTTCACATTTTACAGTATTATAGTTGTTAATTTGTTAATTTATTTTCGATTTTCCCGATGGCCGACACAAAAATAATATAATATTTTTCCGCACCGAATAAGGGCCGGCGGCGCGGCGCATCGCTTTTAAAACGGACGATGCCGTTACGCCGTCTCTCATAACAGCTATCCGAATTAGAAAAATAATTTTTCAGCTTGATGATAAATTTCAATTTTTCCGCCCAACAAAAGTATAATACGGTTTCCCGCCAATTCGTCGATATATTACACATAATCCCCGCGGCGGGAAAGACGCGAATGTCCTTTTATGCAGGTGTACTTACGTGCACATTTATATGTATAGTTATATAGTTAACGTCAGAGAGGATTTATAATTAAACCACCGAGTCGTCATAGTACTCTTGGGCCATTTGAAATCAATAGTAATAACGTAGGTACTCATTGGCAATACTATCATCAGTGTAAAATGGCATTTTTTTCATCGGCATAACCAAAACAATGGGACTTGCACATCGTAAAAAAAAAATTAAAAAAAATACAAGTTATACTTATAGTATTCTCGTGTAGTATATTAATACAATATGTTCAATGATTTATAAAATCTGTAATCTGTAGATTTTCGCAATATCACTCATTTTCATATTTAATAATCCTTTTTTATTCCCTATAATTTTTAATCTGCTCCTGCACCCGTGACTTGAATTTATTGGTAAAACTCAGAGTCACGTGTTTTGAATTCCGTCCTTAATCGAGTGGTTGTAACAATAAAATTAAATTCTTAATGTATTCAATAAAACCGTTTCGATTGAACCTCAAATATATTTCAAATCTAAACGCGTGCTTACATTTTTTCTCTCTAATTTTTTCTCTCTAATTTTGTTTTTTTTTTTTTTTTTTTTTTTGTTTTGACATTTCAAAGCCGACTTGGAAAATCGATACATGAACCTTTAAAATAATCGTTTATATATATTTATATTCGATCGCTTATACATATAGATAAAAATAAAAAATAGTGACCCAATACATAACTGTGTAGACATTAACTTCACTACCGTAACCAAATCGAAAAATAAAAGGAAATGCGATCATTGAGGTAAAATCAATAATCCACTTGTGCACGTCAATATTTCGCAATCGTTTCGCTTTAAAATTAAAAAAAAATAAGTATAGGTAGGTACTATTTCGGTCGGTTGAATTAGCTTTGATGAAATCAATTTCAAAACATTTGGTCATCATTATTCACGAAATATAATTTCGGTTAAACTGTTTTGTTAGTACACACCATAGAACCAACAGATTATTTCCACTATAAATAAAATGATATTATGGCTTATACAATACAGATTTTTTTTTTTCGACAAAATATTATGTGTTGTTTCAATTTTATTATTATTATTATTTTTTTTTTTTTTTTTAAAAAAAACTATATTTAAATTAAAAATTTAAAATGTATATTTGAATTCTTTAGAAAAAGTCAAAAATAAATATGCGTTTTAAGAGGTAAAATAATAGATAGGCACATTATTCTTTGATGTAGATTTTTCTTTGATCCTTAAACGTTCCAACCCAATTGTCGTCTAAAATTGTATTATGCATGCACATTGCACACGTGTCACGTACAAACTTATATACATATATATATATATAATATAAATATGTACCTATCTGTATGTATAATATGTGTATTTCTATAAAATAAATACCAAAATTACGAGTGAAATGACGATATTATTCAGTGGAGCGGAAAAATGAAAAATGTATTTAAAAACATATTAAATACTTAATGTATCAAAATAATATCACACAGTAGAATAGATAGTATAGTGTCGTATCCGGAATTCCTCAATAGGTGCAGTGGTGGGTTGAGGAGGGGAAAGTTCAAAAGGACCATGTTCCCTCTCCTTAAATTCAAAAAAAAATAAAAAAATCAGAAACAGGTCGGTATTCAATCTACTATCTAATTGAGTTTAATATATAAGCATTTTTTATTATAATGCATAATATTATACCATATCAGTTTATTCGGTATCGTTTAATTGAATATTCCGTTACTTATCTTTTCTTATAGTACGCCATTACGTAAGGTTTTTTATTTGATTGGTAGTACCAATTCAAGGGTCTCGGAGTTATCTATTTCTAATTCAAATTCGGTAGGTCTCTTATCAACTTTACTGCCCTATACAGAATAACGGATAACTATATATTTACTGATTATAATTTATAAGATATTATAACGATTTACGTATAAATTCAACAAACTGAATTTTTCGATTAGTTTTTTTCAACTACTTATTGATAAGTATTTCTAAATCAGGGTTTGAACAATGTAGATTTTAAATTTGGTTTTGGTGGTTGGGGACCGTTGTTCGAAAATAATAAATGTTTTTTTCGAAATAATGTCATGGTGGTCGACCACGGACTAAGATGTATCAATGATAAAAAATTTATATACATATGGAATACATCCATGTACAAATGTGAAACATATTTTTCCAAACATTTTACTTAATAACCAAACCAGGCGAATAAAAATAATATGCGTAACAAATATTACGAACGTCGCGCGTCGTACTGATTAAACAATCAGTCTATCTTGTCTATTCTAATCAATATCACAGATATGTATATAATACACATCAAAAATATAAGCAAATAATTATGTTATTTTTATGGTTCCTACCCCTCCACCATCAATCACCCACAGTTCTCCGCCACAGGATGTGGGGGGGGGACTAATGAACAAACCGAAAATTACACGTTTTTCTGTTAATGCGTAAATTTCCTTATTTTAAAATATAATGTAATTACACGTAACAATGATTGAATGAAAAAAAAAAACCAAAATCAAATGCATTTAAATTGGTTCGAGAAAATCTCTGGTTCATATAATAATAATGAATCTTGTACAGAATATATGAAATTATGGAGTCTCGTTGCACTCGGAGTTCGTATACGTATTAAAACGACGACGCGGTTTCGAACGACGAAAACCGACCAATTTAAATCCAGATTATAACGTCGTTGTAACAGTAGATTGATACGACATTCCGGGGTATTGATTTAACAATTTGCGCTATATTCGCGTGATAAGAATGTGATCACGCGACGATGATACATCATCAGTTGCCACACATATTTGCTCTCGGGTAATACGATATTAATAACGATGGGTGTGCTATTAACATAATACGTAAATA